TACCCATGATACATGTGACAACATAGGAAATCAGTTAAGTAACCCAGTCCCTAAAAGACTTAGTTAAAATGTTATAATTATGCCTCTACCAGTGACGCACTGATCGTTCATCCCAGAGATTATCTACCTCCTAAAGGACAAGGTAAAGAACAAAGTGTTTATCATCAGGGATGACTATCGTAGAGCTTACATTTAAAACAAAACATAACACAAATGTTTCTTGTTTAAGCATTAGAATAAAAAAAATATTTATTTGGCTTGAAAACATGCCACATGTAATTGTTTCAATTCATTCACATAGAATTATATTAGCTCTTCAAATTTAATTTCACAGTGCTAACATTACAAATATCCACAAGTGTATTGTGTTTCAAAGATGCCTGGCACTTGTTAGAAATGTGTTCTGTGAGCAGGTTTTTACACTTCATTTGTGCTTTTTTTGCTTGAGTTTCTTTTTCTTGTGCCCCTCCAGAATATTTTTTAGGCTGAAAGCACAATAATTAGTCTTAATTCGATTAGTGTAATATATATAAAATATAGTCCTTATGGGGGACATTTTTTGGATATGTTTTGACCCAAAAAAGCATTTAAAATTAAGTCATGGAAAGCTTTTAAAAATGACTTTGAAACAGAAGAGCAAGCTCTTGTGTACACTCTGTCTGTATTAGTGGTACCACTTAACAAAAAGTTAGTCTAAATGTCAGAGCAAGAATAATTTTCCTCATCACTCAGGTTCTGTTTATATAAAATGATAAAAGCGCCCAAACCTGCAAAGCTCCTACATGTCTTTGTAGAACAGGCAAAATATTATAATGGGGAGAAAAAACCACCAACATATTTTTGCTATTAACGCTATAAACATGATGATGTGCTCACAGTAATTGATTTAATGAAGTTCCTATGAAACTAAAACCAAGTAGGCTACAGGTCAGTAGAGTAACCCCCCCTGCGTGCCCACTGTCAGATGTTTAAAGTCCCGGACTCCTTTGGGAAAGACATCAGGGCTAATAGGTGAAACCACAGCTGTTGATGTCGGGCTGAAGAGGAGCGACATGCAGAAGTCCGAGAGCACCGAGTGTAAAAGCAGACGAAGAATTTTCACTTCTCCAAGCGTTCCCAATCCATGTTTCTGGAAAAAGATTCATTTCCCCTCCTCAACAAAAAAAGAAGAAAAAGAAAAAAACGCAGATGTTTTAAATCGCATCCTTTAACTTGGAATTCTAATTTTTTCCTGCAGGTTGGAGTGCAAAGTGTAAAACTTAATGGCTGCAGAGCAAACTGAAAAAGGGGCACTTTGATTCTGCTGGAGGAAAAAGAAGAGAGAAAAAAAAGGAGGGGTGGGGGGTATCGGCTCTAAAGGCAGCCTTGGAGTTGCGAATGTGGAAGTTAAGCGGGAGCCGTGCAACTGAAACTGAGCTGCCTTGTTTTCTGACATGCTCATGAAACTTAAACTAGCTAGTAACCAGGTAGGGAGCTTTGAAAAATGGCAAAATGCCTGCACTGCAAATATGAAGCCAGTAAAAACAAAGTTCCCACTCACAAAGTTATGCGCACAAACAGGTGGAATCCTGTGGCAAGACGCTCTTTAAAGCTGTAAGTGCAGAGAAACTGAACGTGCTCGTAAGTTACCACCATCATTCAGAAACATCAGTCTCCATTAACATTTGGCTCCACAGCAAGAACTGGCAGATAATGTAACGCTATTATCACTGTCTTTTTACTGGCTGCTAGTTTATAAGGTTGATTCTCTTACTGATAGGAAATATTTAAAGAAAATAAATAAAAACTATTTCTACCCATCAGGACGTTTGTTTGAGCTGAGTAGGTGAACTGTGCACTTACTTTAATAAACTGGTATCCATTTGACGTGAAATACCTGCAGAATCTCGACATGTCAGATTTATTTAGCCACATTCCGTGTCTTATTTACTGGAGTGGTGGCTTACGATTATCACCCTCGTCTTCATTCTCATATTGAGGAAACGGGGGAAGTGTGATTTATTTATTTTTAGGTGAGATGGTAAAACGGGCCAGAGGTATCACAAGGTGTTGCTGTTCTGCTGTATGTGAATTCTGGGAGGTGAGAGGGGGTTAGTGTGAAGAGGTGCCGTTTGCGTCTCCGCACCTGATTTCTGCTTCCCCAAAACTAAAAGTAAAGTTAATCAAAAAATATTTTTTTTAAACTCAACTTCTTTATCCTCCCTCTTCTGTCTCTCCTTCTTCTTGTACTTTATTCCCCCCCAAACCCAAGAGCACTTTTCTGTTGCCGTAAAGGTGATCCATGCGCACTGCAGTTTCTGGCGCAGGTACTCGGATCAAATCTCTTGCAGTCTTGAGTCGAGACTCTTAACTTTTGTGACCAAAAAAAAAGATCACTTCACATGCAATTTTGGCGAGCATTGTGCCGGTAGTATTCAGGAGATGGATAATGCTTGTAAACTCTGACAAGACGGCGTTTGTTTTGCCTCCACGCTCGTCTGAGAAATTATCGTTCAACCCCCTTTTAAAGGGGCGCGATTGAGAAGCAGCGGCGCTCTCACTGCGACTTCTTGCTTTGTCCTCTCCCAAGTGGCGTCTGCATGTCTGACTCTGCCGGTTACTGATTTGCAGGCAGTATGTTAAGGTGGCCCATGTAAGTGATTTCCACGGACATCCCTCTTAAGGAGAACAAATCGTTGACAAAGGAGTGCCTTTCCAATTCAACAGCGTCGTTAGGACAACCAAAAAAGTATTTCTCAGATAATAAGTTCTACTTCAAAGCGTTTCTCACTGAAGGGTGACCGCTTCACTCCTTTTTTAAATGAACTCTCCCTCCTTTTAATGTCTCTGGTTATTTTTCATCGTGTTTATTTTGTAACATTCATTGAGCATTTGTTTCCAAACAGGACATACAAGAGCACGCTACTCTCTTGGCCCCTACCCCTTCTATATATATAAAAAAGAAAAAAGTCGAGGCACAAAACAAGAAGAGGCCCACAAGTGCGTATAGTTTGAATGAAGCGGCAGATAAAGTGTTCTCTTTTCTCCCCCCATTTTTCTTTTTTTTTTCTCTTGAGAAGGCAGCTGTAAAATTGATCAAGCTTGTGTAATACAAACTTACCCTTGTATTAAAGCTTTGTGGTGCTGCTGTGATTATTATTATTATTATTATTTCCTCTTTGGCTGTAAAATTAGGTTCATTTAATGTTGTTTTACGCGCCGGTGACGATTCCCTTGTGCGCCTTTTATTGCCTCAGTCCCCAAATCCTCCCAGGCTGATCCAAGTCAGGTGTATTATCAGTTAAATCTCATAATCATTTCTCATTGTTCTTTTTTTATATGCGAGTGTTAGTTGATAACATTTTTTCTTGTTGTGATCACAGGAATCTAGTTGCACACATACGCTCACAGACTGGTTGGAATTTAGGTGCCAACCTGCCAAAGGTATATTTGTGACAGCACACACATTTCTGGAGAGGGTACATCCTATGCTTTGATTATAATTCATTTAGTGGCAGTTAGCATTTTTTTTCTCCCCTTTTAACCGGACATATTCAAATGCGAGCGTTTCACTACCCAATTGCCATAGAAATCCTAACGCACCATGAAGACTGTCAAAGCAGCCAGCCTTCCTCTCAGAGGCTGCAGCCTTTGAAGTGGTGCAGAACTGGCGTTGGTCAATTTTAATTCTATAGACTGGACAGGCAACTCTTTGAAAGTGAGATTTCGCGTTTTAATGGAGGAAATAAGAGGGGGAGCTTGTTTTATACACTCTATACAAGGCTCTGCTTATTGTCGGATATCTTTTTATCTTTTATTTTTCCCATGAATGATTCATGCCTCGGCTGCTTTGTGCCGTCGCGCCTTTCAGAGGTAGCGCCATCAGGGGGCTATAAGTTTTCCCATTAGCTCAGTGATTAGTTTGTACCAGCCTCCTTGGCCCGTTAGGCCTGTTTCTGAGAAGAGCTGGATATTTTATAGAAACGTCAGTAAGGCAGGTGAAGAGAGCTGCTTCAGCTTTTTCACTCGAGGTGAGACTGATGTTGATGTTTTGCAGTCACTGTGTGTAGTCCACGTTAGAAAGACGTCTGCTAAATCACATAGCGTAAAATAATAATAATAACAAGAAGAAGTACAGGCACAGTCCTCCTATAAAAACTTCTAAGGCCAAAACAAATGACCCCTTATAATCAAACTCACCCTTAAATCATGTTAATGATATAATGTGACACTTATTTACTGTATATGTCCTGTTTTTATTATTAAATTTTAGCATGATTTTTTTTTAATATTGTAAATTAATTCTTGAACATCAAAGGTCTGCACAATCATAGCTGATTCATCTCTCTCTCTTTTTCTCCATCCATTATTATCCAATGGCACCATGCACCTCAATATGAAAGACAGATCACTACAAAAGGCATGCGGGGGGAGAGGGACTTTTCACATTACACAGCCTATTCAAGTAAATGTTTCTTCTTTTACAGAGCACAAATAAAAAATATAAACTCAAAAAGTTAAAAGGTGAATCTGAAAAAAACAAACAAACAACAAAAACAAAAAAACAAAAACCATCAGCAGGGTACTATGCATCACCAAAACTGATATTATTATTCTTTGGTGTTTCTGTAATTCCAGTACAACATTGAAACCAGCAAATAAATTACAATGTACAAAACAACATTTTTTTCCTTGTAATTAAAAACTACACAACATTCACAAGCATCAGCACAATTACATATGTACAAATCCTACAGGATCAAAGCCTGTCAGTGTAGACATTTAGGGTCTCAAGGGACTTACTGGACTCTTTAACAAGTGTTAAACTTGTGTATTTTGCATAAAATATAGTCTTAAATAGTTCTTAAATATTACAAAATTCAATCCAAACACATGTATAAATCTGATAAGGTAAATGCGAACCCTTAAGACACTCAGATGTTTGCCTCCTCTCCTGTTTTTTTTTTCTTATTAGTTTTTTCAAAGTTTGTACCACATTTTAAAGAGATTAGCTGAAATAGAAAAAAGGCCTCCTCTCTAGCCTCTAGATTTTTTAAAAATTCATTATTTCTACTTGTGGAGCTACAAGCAGTACCTTCTCTTTAATGTGACACTGATTGATTGCAGTGAAGTTATTAACTGCAAGAGGATGTGAAAGATGTCATTTCAGCACACCAGTGGAGTCTTGAGTTATGCAGTTAATTAAATCCTGCATTCATCTCGTGGAAAAAAAATACACACACATTAATCTAGTTCTAGTCCGACCTGATTCAAAGAAAAAAAAATATTTTTTTTGGTTCTTTCAAATTGGAAGCAAATTTTGTTCTTTCTTTCAACGTCAAATCTCCGTTTTAAACTGATTGTTGGACAGTTGTGATTTACATGTTAGGTTAAGGTCAGGGGTCATCTGGGTTAAAGGGGACAAAAAAAAAATCCTTGTTTGATGAAGCTACATTGCATCCACACTGAATGTAATTTTGCTGTTTTTTTAGGACAGTCAGTATCACTACTGATCAATATCTCAAGTGAACCGGGTGGGGGAACAACACAGATGCACACTTTAACGGGTCAACTAGATGACAAGTTTGAAAGTCCCCATGGATGTATACCAGGTATCAGAGCATTGTCCTCGGGTCTGAATTTCTGAAAGAGTCCTCGTCGTCTGAATCTGTAGTTGGCACGTCGCTGGAGGGGGTGTGAAGGTGGTTGGGCCCTCCGCTCCCCTGGCACACGTACCACTCGTTGAGGTTGGTGACCTGAGGGGAGAGGTTCGAGGAGCGGTTCCTGTGCGGTTCAGAAGTGGGCGAAAGAGGGTCTCCGAGAGGGTTTGTGGAGGAAATATAGGTGACATTGGTGGCAGGGGGCGGAGGGGACTTGCAGTGCACTTTCATGTGTTTCCGCAACGAGCTCGGGTGTGTGTAGGATTTGTCACAGCCGCGCACTTTGCAGTAGTAAGGCTTGTCGCTGGTGTGGACGTGAGAGTGCTTCTTCCGGTCGCTGCTGTTGGCGAATTTTCGGTCACAGCCGTCAAACTCGCACTTGAAAGGTTTCTCTCCTTGAAGAAATGAAACACACAGATACTGTTACGAGTGATAACATCACGAAGTTAAAGCTTTATGGCTTTTGTTTTTGTTGTAGTTTTTTTAATAAGTCAGAATAACAACTGGAATTGAATGCTCTGTACCTATTATACCACAACTTGTCAGCATTCCACCTTAAATAAATACAAGTGTTCAGTGTAGAAGCCTGTATGCCTCCGCAGACTAAACGTCCATTACACCCACTGCTCCACACCCACTTTATATTCCCGCGTGAACACGTGTAACATGCCTTTAGGCCCCTCTAGTTTACAGGGGATGTGTGTATGTAGTTGAAAAGGGGGCAGTTCGGAAAACACCAGGAGACCTATATGTGCCGTACTGGTCTCTTTCTCCCACACACGCACACACAAAGATACATACAACCCTGTCACGCACAACAAACAAACAACAACAAAAACCCGGAATGGAATGTGAAGTCTAATGCATCCTGTATATTCATAGCAATAATTGGTTAGAGTATTTCCAAAGGGTTTTCCACGTTTTTTCTTCAGTGAATTATTTATTTCCCCTGTGGATTTTACATAATTCAGTTAGGCGAAGAGGCCTATTTATACTGGTGGCAAAAAGCCAAAACTGGGCTATTTACTGGTCAAAATTTGACTTTCAGTCTATTTAAAAAACATAAACAGCTCTCATAAAGAGCACACATTACAATTTAAGGAAGTTGTTCGGCTAAAATTGACTTTCTTTATCTCTCAGCAGCTCTGCCAGACTTTAGTAGACAGAATATGAGAGCAAACTGTCTTTCTCTAAAGGCACTCTCAGAGAGGTAGTTGTAAATATTTTGCACCCCCGATAGGTTACCAATAAATCTGTCGAAGCCTAAAGCATGTGTTTTTTGTTTAAATGCCATCTGCCATGTGCATACACTCATCATCAATATATTAACCGTGCTTTTGCGTAAGGATCCTACGCCCAAAGACAATTACATTTACGCGTGTTCTGTCGCTGTGCTGTAGGTACGTAAGCACGTTTTACAAATCATATGCTCTAATCCTTTCACGCCTACTGCGAGTGTCTTGGTGAGTAAGGGAAAAAAAGTTTATATTTAAGAAAGAAAATGGAACACGGTAACTCACCACGCGAATTCTTTAATCAATAAAAGTCTTTTTTCTCGCTTCTGCGCGCAATTACGCACGATCGTTTCACACGTCCGTTTCGAGTGTGAACAGTAAAACAAGATCGCCTCAGACATAGTCTCATTCTCTGCAACCAAGCCATGTTTTTTTCAGACTGTGGTGCGTATTCTTTATTCAATTTGAAGTACTGACCTGTGTGAGTTCTCTTGTGAATTTTTAGATTCTCCGATCGCGCGAACACTTTCCCACATCCCGGGAAAGGACACGGGAAAGGCTTTTCTCCCGTGTGAACTCGGATGTGGTTTATCAGTTTGTACTTCGCTTTGAAAGCTTTTCCTTCTCGTGGACATTCCTCCCAGAAACAGACGTGGGTGCTCTGCTCCGGTCCCCCGACATGCTCCACCGTGACGTGGTTAACCAGTTCGTGCATGGTGCTGTAAGTTTTAGAGCAGGGCTTTTTTTGACTTTGCTCCTGGTCGATCCATTTGCAGATTAGCTCTTGCTTTATGGGCTGCCGCATGTATCTTAAAAACGCCCCCGCGGCTCCGTGAGGAGCAGAAGCGATGTTCACACTGAGGTTCATGGAGTTGTAGCTGTGGAGAGAAGACGGTCCATAGTGCTCTGGCCTGTGCCCGAAGTGCTCTGGCCTGCCATAGATGTCCCCCGGTATACCCAGGCGCATCTGCCCGTTGAGGGCATGGTGGTGGGCACCTGGGGACGCCTGGTCGTGAAGTCCAGTGAAAAGTGAATGGGCCCCACTTTCCGTGTGCCCATAAGCACCTGTTGGGGAGATGAACATGCCATGGTGATGAGGGGAGGAGGCGGAACTATGCTGGTCGCCAAGTGCATGCATAGCAGAGGCTGAGAGTTCTCTCCTGAGGATGAAGTCCCTGCTGCTTGAGTAGCCTGAGTGGGGGTGAGCCACGGGGAAACCAACTGTGGTCTGAGCAGAAGTGAAAGATGCCGCGGTCTGGGCTTCGGGATGGCTCTGAATGTGCTGAGATGGGCTAAGTTTGAGAGCATTTGTCTGTGCCATGTGCTCTGGTCCAAATGGAGTGAGTGCCACTCCGGGGTCGTTGCCCAGCTCCCCAGGGTGGAGGTGGGCATGGTGGGAGAGAGGGTGATGCCCCCCTAGCCCCGGGAAGCCTGTCATATTCTGATGAGGAAGGGGTTGAGTCGCTGCCAAATCCGCTAATCTTATCGCCGGATTCCTCTTGCTTAAAGGGGGTTCCATAACTACACTGACAAGTCCATCCGCACTCACCGCAACTGTTTTTTTCCCCACCACACTACGCTCTCTAAAACATTAGGAAAATATGTATATAAGGGGTCTATAAGTTCTTTTGTCCGGCTTCTAACTCTGCTTGCTCCTTTTCCCACTCTGTCCTCAAGCGATTGGCAGAACATACAACAGTTGGAGGACACAGTGGGGAATACAGTTTAGAAATGGCACTGCGGGTATTGGACGGATTTCGGTGACTGGCAGTTAGGAGAACGAAGCGATTGGCTGTCGTTCAGCGCAGGGGCTCAGCAGGGTTCCGCCCCCTCACTCTCTTTATTGCTGTTGACTCCAAAAAGTTGTACTCAAAGTTACCAGCAGATCCGTTTGGGCGGCTTTGTGTTTACTGCTGCTGGTGCATGTGGATGACCAAAATAACAGTTTGTGTGACATGTCAAACCTTAGTCTACTCCGGCTTTGGTTT